TATGTCATTATGGTGCTTCGTCAATAATCTTACAGTAAACTGCATTCTTCGGGCACATATATATTTTTTATTTGACAAATAAAGAATTGGTGACTGGAAGGTGTAACGTTCAACGGTGTCTGTGTCTCGGGGACGGTTTTACCGAAAACGCAAATACGGACTTTTTTTTTTTTTCAGGGACATTCTTTCCGTAGACGTTTATACTGGGATGTATCTTCCAGGGACATTCCTTCCGGAACCCGAGAAAGCTATCCCACTATGGTTACCAATGATCCCGGATTATGCGGGACTGTCGCAAGTCCCACGCCGTCCTTGTAAGGACAGCTACGAGTCCCAGATCTGTTCCAGACCAGGTCCAGTTCACACACGCTCAGCAACGCGCCTCACGCTAAGAAACACGAACTTGGCACAAATCACATGCACAAAGCGATGTTGTGGTGGCTAGCGATGGCCACGAGAGGCGCCACTTCAGCTGAACTTCTGCGTGACGTTACGAGCACATTATGCAGCAGTGCAGCGAACAACACGTAGCCAGCTGAAGTGATTCAAGAGGCCGCAACTATAAAGGAACAAATTTGCGCCTGGATCATACAGCAACAATAATGATACCTCAGTTTGCCGACTAGCTATCACCCCCCCCCCCCCCCCCAACCACGAATCTCGACTTTAGCGCTGCCGATCGAGCGCGCACATCGAGGCTGACGAGGGTCCCACATTCCCCGGCTCGGGCTCCACGAGGAGAGTCGCGGTACACTGTTGGTACTTGTGTGTATTACGGTCTCTGTTTTTATCGGTATTGTATTAGCTTGCCGCGCTACTATAGTTAGGTTCGGTGGCAAGCTTGCCATTGTAAAAGCAGTTAAAACATGCACGTCTGTTGCGTTGCACTACGGCGTCTAATGCGTCCGTTGGTTCCTGGAGCGCCTGTTCAACCCCGACTACGGAAAAAAAGAAAAGAAAAAGAAGGTCAACAGCAACACAGCTTTAGGGCGCGCATAGGAAGCACACAACTCAAATACCACATATTGCACGCCCCTCCCAACGATGTTTTTACGTCACGTCTTCCCACACATCAAGGATCGGGAAAACCAATACAACACTGACCCTGATGTCCCTCTCTCCCTGCATACATACATTTTGACCGAACTACCAGACAGAAGAAACTTGGGACATGAAGAGATGCGAATAGTGTGGCATCTGACCTATTTGCTGTATTGAATTTCTTTTCAATCGGTCGTGGTCTGAATGGTAACAAAAAGTCACCAGATTGATCCATAACACAATCGAGTAGTAGTTAGCATCGTCTTATTGCCACCAAATACTAATGCGCAATGAAAACGTTGCCGATAGTTATAACGCGAGAACAGAATGACACACAGACAAGGAATACACGAAGGACCTTTTCGTCTCTGTGTTGTCGTTCTGTTCTCGCGCTATAACTATCGTTTGTCATACCAACTAGCCCAAAGCTGCCACACTTCGAAGAAAACAGTTCGTTGTGCTGCTCGCGTCCTCTTTCCATTCCACCCTCAAATCCACCCTGTATATTGCCAATACTGCTGGGCTGGAGAGAGTTACCAGATTTAGAAAAAAAAAAAAAACTCTTTTTGGGCAAATCAAACTGAATCGAACGGTCCATGCACACTGTGGTCCGAAGGTAGATACTACGTTGCAGGGTCCCACGGACAAAAAGTAAACCGCAATGGTCACCTGCATAAACACTGAAACACAAGTTAATAGTCACAGGATTCGCCGCACACACTTCCAAACTAGGTTTTAGTTGTCACTGCAGCATTCGCTAATGACAGCAAAATGGAAATGAAACCTTGTGCCGACAATCCATCCAGCAGTCATCACCACGCAGGTAGGACATGTCGGCGCCTGCCCATCATCCCCCAAGCTGCGGGAAAATGCAGTTAACGAGAAAGAAAAAAAAATGTATAAGCTCATTTGCAAACAATTACTGTGATTTCCAACTGCTGTCGTCAACTTCCCGCGAGCTGACGAAGCCAATTCTTTTCTCTTTTTTTTTGTATTTTCTTTATTATTATTTTTTTTTTTTACAGCACAGCTGTTTGTCTGCGTTCGAGTCGGGGTGGTCAGATCGCGGCACGTAGGCGGTTGGTCTGGGCGTTTTCCTGTACGGTATATTTTCCTTGTCCGAACAGTACCTGATGTGGACAGTCGCCGAAATCGAAACTGGTGGCCCTTGGACTCCGAAATTGTCTGCCGCATGCCGGTAGGCATCTCGGAAACCTGCGTTCGCGCCTCTCTTTGGGGTAAACATTTGCTTGGTTGTCCCACCAGATGTCATTCGGTCCGCAGGCCGTACCGCAAGTGTCGCCACGTTTCGGCCACCAAACCTCCTCGAAGCCGGCACGCACGCGCAGACTACCTAATTGGGAAAAGCACAACTGGAAGTGCGGGAAGTGCGGGTGTGATCCCTAGAATATTCTAGGGACCACAGTGCGGGTAAAAACCGTGAAGACAACGCTGCGGCGCGGCTACAACAGCGCTTGCGGTAGATCGCGTGGGTGCTGCAGTGACCACGACGACGCCTGCGTCGGCGTAGTGCCGTGGTACTGCTGCACACGACGTCACATAATATATGCAAAACCGGGGCGCACAAAATAAATCACTGCGAGAAACCACAGATGAAGAGACGGCGGAGATTGAGTGCAGAGATTGATCACGGCGGAGATTGAGTGCAACAGTGACACGATCCTCGCAGAGAATGTCTCGTATGTGAAGGAAGCTTTCACAATTCGCAACACGGTTCATAAAGCACTGATAACAATCGTTTTGAAAATACACACGAATAAATTTGTACACCCGGGTGTTTTCTGCGAGAAGTCTGATTTATAATTGTATGCAGCCAATGTATGCAACTATCTTTCGAAAGAAGTTCAGAATGTTCGAAAGACCACAAGCGTTCCATGATTTCTGTTCAAGCAAAGGAAGTTCTAGTCTATGCAATGCGAAATGACAGTGCGACGGTGCACTTTAGCTTTTACCGCCTATTTCTACTACACTTTCCATTAAGAGCATGAAAAAAAAAGAAAAAACTTACTAGCTTGTGCTGGGTTTACAACTTGTGCAACCAAACATTTTCATGACCAAGAATATTTTCAATCAGGGAGCAGGAAGCAGCTTTACCATTAACGATCTAATAGAAAAAGAGGGCAATGGTGAAAATTTTTCATTCTTTAGGGCTGTGAGCTCCAGCTTTACAGGAGTCCTATCTTAAAGGTACACTAAATGTCAACATTGATTGTATAAAGAGCAGTCCAGAAACCTCGCAGTGCTCCCTTTTATGCCAAGGTAGGACTTATTTTGAAATAAGAGCCTCTTTTAGTGGTCCACATCGAGTAGCGCACTTTAAATTACCCGCCTGAAAGCGGCCTTTCCGACTTCACCATTGCCATGCCGTAAATTGCCTGCCTTTATTGCGCGACCGCCGACACTAGCAGCAGCAGAGCAAGAGTAGTGGAAGCCACAGCAGCAACAATGGCCATCGAACAATTTTCTGCTTGTTAGGTTCAACTTGACATCTGCTAGAAGACACCCCCTGTCCAACCTAACCAGGCGAAAACTGAAGTTTCGAACCACTTGTGCCATTCCTTACATTAATGCCAGGCAGTTATTTCTATAAATAAAACAGAAACGGACGATCAGCATTTTATTACATCTCTTGACGCACGGAAGTTTCCCTCTTCATAGCAGCTAGTTTGATTACTCGTGATGAATTGCAGTCAGACCCTCTCACGTCATCGGGATCATTTGCAAAGTGCTTCACTCGTGGCACAGGTTTCAGGATACATTTAGCTCAATTTCTCAGTAAGTGGAGCACTGCTGTTGATAATATTGCTGTTTTAGATGTTGTCATACATTGAACTTTCACTCTGACATAAATTGTAATTTGCCTTCTGTGTCCCTTTAAGATAGACAGTGGAAGTTTCACAACTGCCAAAATGAGCAAACGGAACTGAAACTTCATAAGCCAATGCCACTACGAACGCACAGAGCAGGGTCCAAAAGTGCATGCTATAATAACACATAAGCGATCTTAGCATCAATATTGAGGCGTATGCACCACGTTCCTGAACAGACTGGACAGAGCATGCTGCATGCAGGGGGCTAAATTGATTTCTGACGCAAGTCTGCTAACATTCAATGCCAAAGTAATTTTGTGACCTGCCTAAGACAGCGTTAGCACGCTTAAGCTGCACACAAACTGCTGCGACAGATCCAATACACAATAGGAGCAGTGCAACAAACTGTAAAGTTTTAACTTTCATCTTGAGCTTCAATACCCAGTTAACCCTACAAAACAACCACAACTTTTACTCCTTCTAGCACCACACCCTTGATATTCAAACTTCCTGCTCCATCTCAAACATTCGCTGTGTACACCATGAGCAGGAAACGGTTTTCTACAGTAACTGTTGTTTTTGGCAGCAGAATTTTGAGAACTAAACAAGTTTTACATAAAAATATTTAATTGAACTGGGCTTCATGGTTACTTCGTAGAACTCATCACATTCAAAATCCCCTAAAAAATCTGGAGAGATGACATCTTGAAGGTGCCGGTGCTCCTTTCCTGGTCTTAAAGAAGAGGATAATGAGCTTCTCTGCAGTGATGCTGACCTACTAGGTGACACCATTTTGTTTCTAAAGGACAGTCAGCCTGCTACTCTGCTATAAAGTGTAAACAAGAAAAGAAAAACATATGCTGAAAATATGCACTTGCAAGATTTTCACAAGCCAAATACAAATCAGAACTAGGTCACAGAACAGATGAAGGTTATGAGACTTACACGCATTATCTTCCACTTGTGTTATGCTCTTGATACACATTGGCTTCTTTGTGCACGGCTATCCCGCTATTCAGATCCTACAGAGGTTCTCACTTGCAGTGGCCCACTGTCGTGATTGTGCTCAGCAATCAAATAGAGCCTTGCCAAACTACTACAATAAGGTTTCCAATCTGATGCTTCAAATACGGTCAGGATAGAATATCTTTATTGAATGCGTGAAAAGCATGTTACACGATCAGGAGGAGGATCACAAAGGGGTGTCCTGGTTGTACAGAGTCACTATCACGCACAGCTAACTCAAGACAAGGAGCAATTTCCAATGTGTTTACCACAAGGATTAAAACAAATATTTCATGTATAGTAACAAATGGCATAACAAAATAAATGAAAGAAATGCTTGAAAAACAACGAAAGAAAAAGCAACAAAGAACAGCCGGACATGTCTGTTCACCACTTTTCATGCTTCATCCGTGACAACCATGCAATCGTCGTCTTCAGTTTGCACCACGTTGTCGGAGCATTCATCCACCACCGCAAAGTCTCCCTCCAAGACACATTCATCTGCAATTGTTAATTTATAAAGGAATGACATTTGTTAAGCATACATCAAAACCAATGGAAAGAACTGCAAAGGTTCACGCTTGTGACTCAATTTTTGTTTCAGACTATACACATATATGCACTAGTGCAGCATATACAACAGTTGAGAATACAGCCCATATAGCAGCAAACACAAAAACAGTGCACCAGTCTTACCAATTCATCTTCAACAACGGAGTTTGAGGTTTCCCATATTTATCATCTATCTTTATCAATAAATTGATGACAATGCCATGTACAGTGAAAATTAAGTAAACTAATTTCCAGCCAATTAATTTATCAATGTGACAGAGTGGCCCAGTTATTACCATATGCGTCTACCATACTTTCCACAAAAAGCATTTTGAAATAAAATGGCTACCTGAGATATTTATATAACTTCTTACACCACACTTGTTGACAGTAAACTATCCAAATTTTGTAAGCATTATGTAGTTTTTTTTATAGAAGAGACAACATACGTAAACTCTAATTTGGTAAGAGGCAGGCCCAGTTAACTGAAACCATTATGGAGATTTAACAGCATACCTCACTGCCATAGCAGTGGCCAATGTTTAAGTTAATATTTTTTTTTGCAGAATAGGCAAGAAAATGAGACAATATTACCAGCAAAATGCACAACACAACACAAGCTTGCCATAGACTTTCAGTTGATATCGAGATTCAAATTACTTGAAAAATACCAGTTCCATTTGACAAATAAATCACAGGCCCACACATATAACACAACTCTGCCCCTGACAAGCCAAAAGGATGCTTGCTTAAGGGGAGCTGTGATTTGGGGGGGGGGGGGGGGGGGGGAAGAAAAACTTTTGTTTTAATCTGAAGTCTAAAGCAATGAAATTTCTGCAGTTTACATAAATTTTTATGCTGATTTCAAATTTGTAATTTGTTTTGCAGTAAGTTCCATAGTTTCCATTCCGTACTATGACAATGCATAAAATATAGCTCTTTCTGGACAGCCTTTCCTGCAACTTAACTTTCAAATCCGAAGCATTTCTTTGTGAACTGTAGGCCCTTTGAGCGTGCGTGTGTCCATACCTTACTTTACCTAACTTGCCTACCTATCCGCCCATGTCTGGATGCTCAAGTAATCACCCCATTAAATAGGTGAACCAAAATTAGTATGGGTGGGTAAGATATTTGATGAATATGACTCGCTGGTCATGACATGAATAATGTCACAGTCCCGTCGCGTTCATGGTCAAACCCTTTTCGCTAGATATGCGGCACATACCCACGGGCAGGTACTAGAGAGAGAGAAATAACTTTATTGGGTAGAAAAAAAAATAATAAAGGATTTAGGAGCTAGATGGGTGGGGCCCCATATCCAAGGCTCCACTGGCTTGCGCTGCCAGTCGGACATGGTTCAGGAGTGCTAGGTGCACCTCCAGGTCCGAGCTAGTGAGGAGTGCCTCCCACTGCTCCTAAGAATTTTCTATTCTATACATAAGCTGTAAGCGATCGAGTTCATTTGGCCGTTTAGCACAACTCCACGAGATATGGTAAAGAGTCGGTGACGAGTCGCGACACCACCGACTATCACGCCCTTACAAAGTTGGATGAATTTTGTGCAGTCGTAAAAAATTTGGATGAACCCTCGTTTGAATTTTACGAAGGCCTATGGCGTCTTCTCCTTTAAGAGATTTGTGGGGGGTGCTATATTTCTGCCGCGTGCGTCGCTGATGAGCAAGAAGCTCGCGCAAAGCCATCCGAGCTGGGTCGTTTTCTTTTTCGTTGCGAAAGCCATCATGCATGGTATGTGGATATGTGCAGCAGGTGACTGACAGTTTATATCTACCCAGGAATGGCAAGAACAGACATGGCTAATTTTAACACGTGAGCATTAAGAAAAAGCTGACATTGGCAGCGTTGACTCGACGAATGCAGAGAAAAAAATGTCAGGGTCCCAGCAGGAATCGAACCCTAGCATTCTGCGTGGCAATCAAGTATTCTACCACAGAGTCATGCCAAGTCTTTGAAGTACTTTTCAAATAGTCCCTAATGTTCGTGAAATGACAATTGTGGTTGAAGTGCTCGCTATCCAATTTCATAAACATTACATATGTACTCCTAAGATACAGCCATTTCGCTGAAGTTGATTTATGTAGCAGTGTCCAGGGCTAACATCCTCACGAGTGCCAGCGCTTCCTATCGGCTTACCGCTTCTGGTGTCGCTATTATCTATGTTGCATCATTACGCAACAGTAGACAACTGATTATATAAGCAAATGCGGCCGTTTCTCTTAAGTCTCTGCATGCATTTGTACATATCTTTAGAGCCAATTCCTGATGTTTCCCTCAATATAAAAAATACAACACAGTCAACTTCCATCTGTATGCTTCTACTGACTACAAGTCAGACATGACTCATATTGCTCCACATTAACTGTAGAATGCAAATAACTACTAAGAAAGTGTGTATAATACAGTTAAAGGGGCCCTACAACATTTTTACAAGTCACCAAAGAATGGATTCACTAAAGGAGCTCATTGCGTCACAAATTCGCCGTCGCAGGAATATTCAAAATCCGTCTAGTACTAGCGGAGTTACAAAGATTCGGTGCACATTTCAACCACATACTTTCTTTTGTCATCCCGATGAAAGCGCTAGAAGCTAAGCAGGGAGGGATGGCATGGGGGAAGAAAATGCACCATGCATACCATGTGATCTTGAGCACTTCTTTCTCTCCCCCCCCCCCTTTTTTTTTTCAAATACGGTGCTTTTCAGTGCAATTGCGCACACACACGTGTGGGCAAGTTGCGGCCTCCCGCGACAGCCCCAGTAACCGAGCATGCCATGCTCAATTCAGCCAATGGCCGGTACTAGTCTGGGACGTAGTGATTTTGAGCCTGTTATGTCATTTGTCGAGAGAAGAGAAAGCAAATTTTAGATGACTTTGAGAATTTACTGAAAATTCCTGCGCTATACTATTTGACATGCCCGTTATCAGGAGCCTAGGCTACTGATCGGCAGCACTTTCTTGCCATGCTCAAAAAGTGTTGCAGGGCCACTTTAAATGAACAAGAAAAATTGTAACGTGAGAAGTGCTAAATGCCCAGCCCATACTAATTACTTACTTTAAGATCATAATAACTATATACATGATATCATGCTTCAAAGGTGATAATTGCACTCTTCACATGTGAACGAATATGTGGCAAAAATTTCATCTTCATCTGGCCTTGAGAATTACCAAAAACATGATATCAAAACTAACAAAGTTGCCCAAAATTGTATCTTCAGAAAAAGCACACTTTAAACGCAGAAATGAAAGCTCATCTATGCGAACAAGGCATGTTTTTAAAGACAATTTCTTCTATCATGAGAACTTGAGAATCATGGTTACTTTGAGCATGTGACTTTCGCAAACTCCTAATGTAAAATGCAATGGCAAGCAGCGGGGGACAATTTCCAGGGGACCCTAGACAATGAAATCTTTTTAGCTTCTTATATCCCTTTTTGCTCTTTGAAGGCAATTTGAGCCTACTTAATGTTTACCTACAACCATGATTTTTTTGTCATGAAGGTAGAGAAAGTAAACTTGATTGATTGATTGATTGATATGTGGGGTTTAATGTCCCAAAACCACCATATGACTATGAGAGACGCCGTAGAGGAGGGCTCCGGAAATTTCGACCACCTGGGGTTCTTTAACGTGCACCCAAATCTGAGCACCTGGGCCTAAAACATTTCCGCCTCCATCGGAAATGCAGCCGCCGCAGCCGGTATTCGAACCCGCGACCTGCGGGTCAGCAGCCGAGTACCTTAGCCACTAGACCCCCGCGGCGGGGCCCCAGAAACTAAACTTGTGAAAGCAATTAAAAAAAAAAATGTGTTTTGGAAAAAGATTTTCGAGTCGCATCTTAAACTTTTTAAGATGTCAATGTAATAATTACAACCTTGAGCAGTCACCTGCAAATTCCTACAGTCATTTCTTGTACTACAACTAACAATGTAGGCCAACACCCGCAAGATTTTGGACCATGTGACAGCCTAGTTCAAACATAGATACTCAAAAGCTTTCATTAAAATAAGTTAATTTTTCCTAAACAGCTAGCAGGAAGGAGTGGTTCCGAGACTGAAAGCAAAGAAACCTTGAAAATTTTAAAATTGAGAACACTACTGTTGCTCGAATTTACACCAAACCAAAATGACAAAAACCAGCATGGTAGGCACGCATCCTACAATAGGGCAACACTCATGCTATGCTGAAAATCGAAAACCACATGTCGAGATTTTAGTTATATCTGATAACACCTACTGTAGCTACACTTTGAAATGGGGCCACTAGAGCGCTAGCATGAAAATTGGATGTCAAATAATACTTCAACTGCTGGACAGCTTGCACAAGTCATCTATATTATGACAAAAGAAAGCTTCTGGCAGTTCACTTAAAGAAGTCACAGAAATCCCAATAGCTAGAAGTTTCACTCATAAGATGAATACTTAACAGCAGAAAAGATAAAGAAACGACCATGAACAGGAAATACACGAGAGAAGTTTCGTGTTCGTGCCATGTTTTTTTCATGCTGTTAACCTTGAGTAAGCACAATCAACTAGCCCAGTCAGATACTTAATTTCATCAGATGAACTCCACTTTCTGAACAAAAACACAACAGGCCAGGACTGTTTAATCAAAGCTAAACAATTTATGAATTAGCAGATATCTGCCAATGACAAAGAAAAATGCGCTCGGTGATGTACCTTCTGTTGAGACTTTGGCGCCCTCAAGCGCTGGCGGAGCAGCACCGAGTGACGCATCTTCGAGCAGCACTTCACCCTGATCGTCCCAAATGGTTTTGCAGGGACATGGGATGAAAGAAAGAAAGCAACAAAGATGCATTTGATCAAAGCTAAAAATAAGTACAAGCAAAAAAAAAATAGTACAGCATTCCACAGCAAACACACTGCATTTTGCAAGGAGCATGAGAAGCATCAACTCGAGGGAACGGAATGCGTTTATTGCTGAAATGTTACAGCCAAATGCCTACATAATAAACACAACTATAAGAAATTATTTGACATAGCATAGCAAATTAAATATTTTCTTGTCAAAATTACAGGGCAATAAATACATGTGTATAACAAATAACTGATATAATAAATATATCAGGTTGTACACATCACAATGCCCTGACAAGTTGGTGTTGAGAATCAAATGCACAAACTGTTCCCTCAAGAGGGATCGTAGAGCACTACACTAGGCGATAATCGCCAAGTGTCAATCAAAACAGCAAGTGACCGAAGAAGATACTTACGGTGGGCCATCACATCGAAACATTTAGTGTGAAACAGCTACTTCCCGATTCACCAGTACTGCTTTGATGGCAACGGCTGTCTTAACCATCCATTGGTGCTTTGCACAAAAACGCCTCAGCTCAGGTGACCAACAGTTTCGATCGCTGCGTGCGTAGTTTTCTCCCATGACGTTGCCACACCTCACGCGGAACCCACCGGCCAATATGTTTCAGCCGAGGAGACCTTGCCCCATCTTCTCAAGCGATGCTCACAACTGTTTTCCTCGACAGCATTGTTACCTTTTAGTAGCACATAGAGCTAGACAAACGGTGAAATGCCGACGGCAGGGGATAAGTGAGTGCGCTATGGTTACAAGAACAACAATTAGTGCAATCGGGTGCTGGAGACTTCATTCAGGTCGAGCAGGCACCAAGACAGCAACGCGATACTGAATGCGAGCCTTTTTGGCGCGTACATATATCGAAAAGTCCAAAATTTGCTGAAAGGAAAACAAAGGTTATGCAACAATGCCGAGACACTTATAGCAAGACACATTCAAGGGCTAAATTTATAAAGCGACACACCAGTGCAACTAGACAGGTCAGTTATTTACACGAAATTATACTAGTGGCTTTGAAACAAGGAGACTTATATAAAATTTGAGAAGCACATAAATATTTTCTACAAGCTTGCGTGACCTGCAACAACTTACGTTACAGAAACTCACTTGAGCTGAGATCGCATCATTTGAACACTCGACAAACAATCACTCGTGTCAACATGATTAAATTATTTTAATAGACAATAATATACCACAGATGAGAACATAACTCAAAATAAGATATTGCCACCTACGTGAGCAGGTACATTACAAACAAGAAAGCATTTTCCTTGGAATTGTGAGTGATCTTATAGACTAATATCAGATTCAGTTACCTAATATACAAAAAAAAGTCAGCCCCACTTACAGATCTATACTGCTATTCACCATTGCAAGAAAGCAGTGCCACCTGATTTATGTCCAAATCATATACTCTCTGCTATGTATAAAAACAAGACACATTACAAAATTACAATACAAGACCTTACTACAAAATAAGTTTGTTGTTTCTATCTAAAATATTATGTTTGTCTGAGTAGTGATGTAAGACTTTTCGACAAAATTTTGCAGCGTCTTCAGGTTTTTAACCTACAAGCAGTGACACAAACATTCATTTGCAAGGTAGAATCAACAAGAAGTGTTTGACTCCCCGAAGATGAGTAAATAAAATTGATCCATAACTTCTGTAAGCGTGACAGACACGTAAGACGAACAAAGTACACAGGAAAAGCATTCAGTGCCTTCTAAACACAATTGGATGGAGTTCCCGTGCAAACTCCCCTTTGGTGGTAAAGTGTTGGCTGTACATACATTTTTCTTAGATTGTGAGAGACGATGGTAAAAGTCCACAACATTTATTTGTAGTGATATGACCTACAGCAATCCTATCTTGTGGCTGTAGTCAGTTTCTGTCTTGCACAACTTAAAGGTCAGCTGCATGATGACTAGTCTCGGGCACACTGCCGACAATGAACGACTGGCATATGTCTAGACAATTCTCTCTATAATAAAATAAGGTCAAATAGAGCTGTCAACGCGAATCAGATTAAGCTGCATGTTGAGGAAGCCCACCCTTGTAGTAAAAATTGATCTGGAGTCCACCACTAGACCATGCCTTACAATTACAATGTGGTTTTAGCCAACAATACTCCAGAATTTAGTTTTAAAACTTTAATGCACTTACCAAAAATGTTTAACAGAGGTGGAAGTTTAGGAAAAGTTAGAATGCCAAAATGGCGCAGTCCTGCTGGGACTCACCGAATCTGGCTGCAGAAGCTGCCTGCTTGGATCACGATCGCTGAACTGCTCTTCTGATCCTGCACTGCCTTGAGCTACGCCCCCTGCAGCTGTCATGTCGGCCAGCGGCTCTGCTAAAACAGAGGAGCTGGGAAAGAGGCCCTCTCCAGGCATGCTGTTGTCATGGTTGATGGCAGCGTCTACAATGGCAGCGTCTACAATGGCTGTGTTCCAATCAGGGCATTCGTCCAGAAGGCTGTCCAGGCCCAGCGTTGTCACAACGGGCACGGAGCAATCTCTTGCGGAGGATTGCTTATCGAAGGACGCAAAAGGGACTTCTGCATCGCCTTGACCGAATCGCACACAGCTTTTGCTTGTGTCAGCCATCCCTCCTCTGTGTTGCAGGGCTGCGCAGCCCAGTGATTCGCCATCTTCCATTGCAGCGATTGCCTGTTCTTGAGCGCAGTTTACAAACTTTACCACGGCGGCACCTTTCATGGTGAGCTGTGCACATCCGGTGGTACTCGCCGTTTCCATCATATTATGAAGAAATTCTTTACTGTCCTCAGCGTTGACAGCTGGCACATTTACCCCATCTCCACTTTCCCCTACACATTCTCCATAAGAAAACTTTTTACTCAAGCCATCCTTATCTGCAGCAGTGAGCCCTTCAGTGATCATGCCCAACTTTGCTGTCTCTTCCTGAATTGTCTCGTCCTCTCTAATGAAAGGTTCCTGACTGTCCCCATAGTTGACTTCCATTCTGCCAGAAACATCTTCCTCAATTTCAGTGGCACCACTCGAACAAGAATCTCTCTTGACATTGAGGTGTGCCGGAATCGATGTTTCACTTTCCGAAATACCTGAAATTTGCACGTTCTTCTCAGGCAGCGCTGGACACACCTTCAACAGTATTAGTCTTGCTGGTCAAGCTGAGATTTGCAGTCACGTTCTTCCCTGCCGAAAAATCCTCAGGTTGAAAACAAGTGCGTTGAGTTTTAGCAGATACTCTTTCTTGGCTTGCTTCTATCGACGTGGGACCAACCCGCAAGTTAAAATAACTGCTTAACGGAGCACTATCCGACAAACACATGGCAATTTTTGCAGAGTCAAAAGAGGGTGCTGTATGGTACAGTTCATCTCCCACCATACCTGAAGTGCTTGTATTGCTGCCTTCAATCGATATGTCCACTTTGTTAGCTTCAATGGCTGCGGCAGATACATGCTGCTCTTGCACAGCAGAACTGCCAGGCTCACATTGCTCCATCACTTCTGAGTCCACTAGATCACCCATTTCTTTTCTATGCAGCTCTTGAGTGCTCATATACGATCCTGAGACCTTTTCACTGACAGAGCTTGCAGTGGCATGTTCAGCATTAGCTTGTGTTGGGAATGAAGGGTATGGTGCTACCTCCCTCTCATGACTTGGAGATGCATATACAGACACCTGCTGTTGAATGCTCACACAAGCATTCAATGTTTCTTCAGTCTTTTCTTCACTCTCTGTGGCACAGCTGGGCATAGCAGCCTTGGTTGTGCCCACAAAGCTTTCACTAATGGCAAGTGAAATGTCGTCAGCTATTGATGGAACCCTTCCAGGCTCTGCTGTATCACGAAACTCGTTTGACTGCAATGCTTCACCTTGAGCGGTTGGCTCTGATGGCTTAACTGTTACAGCTTCACTGCCTAGTTCTGTGACAGGCTCAGTAGCGTTGTTCTCCAAGGCAACATAAGTACTGCTTGTAGCGTGTGAACTGCCAGTGACTAATGGGGAGACACCTTCAGGCACTGTCACTTCCTGAGGTTCCTGCGACTGCAAAGCTCCATATTGTGTTGTTGGTTTTGGTGACTTTCCAGTTACAGTTTCACTGCTTTGCTCTGTAACTGGCTGAGCAGAGCTCTCCAAAGCAACATCAGCACTGCTCACCGCCAGCGAGCTGCCAGCAGCCACCTGAACAATATCAGCCACTGCCACTTCGTGAGGTTCATCAGACTGCAAGGCTTGCGTGATTGGTTCTGGCACCTTCGCTGCTGCAACTTCAGTGACCGATTCTGGGACAATCTCAAGAGCCCCCTCTAAAGCAACGGTAGTGCTGCTTATGGCGAGTGGAAGGCCAGACGCTATCGGAGCATTATCATCAGCCAGTGCCACATTATCGGATTCATGCAACCGGCACAAGGTTTCACCCTGTGCTGTTAGTTCCGTTACCTCTGCTTCTACAGCTTTATTGTTTGGCTCTGTAACTGACTCAGCATCACTCTTCAAAGCAACGGCAGACGAATCGCTAGAAGCTATTGAAGCAATACCTTCAGGCACTGCCACTTTGTGAGGTTCACGAGACTGCAAAGTCTCAGCTTGTGTTGTTGGCTGTGATGGCTTCGCCGCTACAGTTTCAGATACAGGCTCTGTAATAGACTGAACAGCACACTTCGAAGCGACATTAGCCGTCATAGCAATCTTCACATCCGCATCTTGTACTTCTGATTTCACATCTACAGTAGCGGCCGTAGCAACCTTCACATCCGCATCTTTTACTTCCAGTTTCCCAGCTACAGTAGTAGTCATAGCAACCGTCACGTCCGCATGTTGTACGACGGGTTTCACACCTACAGTAGCAGCCGCAGCAACCGTCGCGTCCGCATCTTGTACTTCCGGTTTTCCACCTTCAGTGGCTTCTGCATTAGCCATAGTAACTGCAGGCTTAGCATCACCTGCAGTGGCTTCGCTTAAGTTCGGAGCTGCTCCAGTAGTCACAGCACTTGCATCTTTCCCACCAGCTGTGTTTATAAAAGGTTCGGTAGCTCGCGTTGGTTCTTGGAGTTCAGTAGTCGGAGATGCACTAGCGGTCGGCATAGCCCTTTGTATGGGAGTAAGGGTTGGGGGCGGCCTCTGAACAGTTGCAAGTCTTGCTCTTGTCACTGGTGGCGCTGGTGGCTCCGGCTCGTCAGGTGGGGGTGGAGGCGGCAGCCGCAACACTTGCAGGGGCACCACTGTGTTACATGTAACCCTGTTGTTGTTTGGCTTGACGTAGTCAGCATTTGCCACAAACGGTCTGCCATGGGTTAGTAATTGAGGCCTCACATGCAAGGTAGCTGAAATGAGTTTTAGAGGCCCCTATTAGGCCACTGAAAGAACTAATGAAATGAAAAATGCCACTGAGTAGTCATGCACAGATAAGCACTTCAGCGGCACACTGTGTTAGTCTTGAATAATTTGTCTCGATGATGTGATGCGTTTCGGTTCACTTTAAAAGCTGAGAGCTACCATTTACAGGGTGTTTGAGATCAACGCCTCGCAAGGACACCAAGAATAAAGGCAGTGAACGTAAAAAAACTCGCAGTTTTTACATGCCACTGGCTTCCTATTCTGATAAAAAACAAGTGCACTCAACTTTGAGAGGCTTGATGCTTTATGTGACTACGCTGCACCTTGTTTCAGGAGTCACTGGACTGCACTTTGGCAAGAATGGCTCATGTCCAGTGGCGACAGATGTGTTGAAAGTCATGGCAGAAAAATGTTAATATGCTGAACAAGCACGAAAAACACTTCCTACCTGCTTTGTCTTTTTTGCCCTCCTGCCACTTCGAAAGTGTGCATGTAGGCTTACTGTGGAAGAAGGCTTGCTAAGAGAGAAAACTTTACAAAAATATGCGGCACCCACCCTTTGAAATCGGCATGACAGCTCACCACGTATCATGGATTTCGACGCCTTGACAAGCTGTTATATATTTTGTTGCTAAGGCCGGCTAATATAAATTCTAAAGGAGCCGAACATTGCGCTTCGAATCACAAGATGAAGAAATAAAAAGGTGCCAGTAAGGTCTGCTTAAACTTGAAGAATTCATTAAAAAATGCAAATAATGAAGTGACTGAAATTTGTTTCTGCACACATCGTTATATAACTGAACTTAGTATTATTTGTCAATTTGTGTAGCTGAGGCGACACTGTGAGAAAGGAAGTGAGGAAGTTGTTTGAAACGAGTGGATTAAGAGTTGTCCAATTTCCTGGTCAACTTGTTCGCCCAATATAACAGCCTGTGTGTAAAACAAAGCTATGAAAATATCTGAAAACGGGGGTTGTAAGCTCAAGCCCAAACTCATGGGGCATTACCGAACTTGGGTGAAGTACCACTAATGTCATTTCAATTATTGATGGAGTTATACTGCGGTATACATTGCAGTTTAACTTTTTGATGGTTTTTGTACAATTTATAGTACTCATACAGAGTTTTACTATCAGTGAAACTAGCTTCCATACTTACTCCTAGTACAGATTTTCTTTTTATATATTTTATCTCCACATGTGTGGTTGAAATAAAAGCCAGAGTATGCAGATGAAGAATAATACACCCCCCCTGCACCTCAACATTCATCACATCAGACTTACATGCACTAGCAACAAAGATCAGGAGCAAAACTTAATTTAAAAAGAGTTTGTGCATTCTTGCTTTGAGTGGCAGACATATTACTACAACAAAACAGAATATAATTTTGAAAAATGAAGTGCTTTCCTTCAGTGTCCCTCTCTGGTAGTTGTGTTATCTTGAGAATCATTATTATGCAGGACAAAGGACTCTCATAAAACATCTCCAACTGTTGAATATTCATTCAAGAAAGAAGAGAACGAAGTGTAGGCATGAGAGAAGAGCTTGCACAGGATGTGCTGAAACGAATGTTTGCCTGACATGACCGAAGCTTTTTATCTCTTTGATTTATTAAACCTTTGTTTTGCTCCACTCTACCGGCAAAGAAACCTTTATTCTACACCAACTGATCATGTTTTGAACCATTATATGCCTGCAAATGTCCTGATTTCCTCATTTCACTTGTCTTCCGGCCGATCTCGCCGGCATTTTGAGCCTCCAACACACTAAATGACCTCGAGTTGGCTGTCCTGCACATTACAACGCCCACACACATCCATCGCTTGTCCTAACCTAGAGGACAATCTGAAGCAAAGTGCAGCGTCTCAGTGCTCTAGCACTAGTCTGTCCATGCAGCCTGTTAGTTATTGACATGAGGCAGAAGTTCAGAGAAGCTTGAAAAGATGAAAAATCTCTCAAATTGAGCTGTCACTCCAGCCAACGTTTTGACAAGTGGTCATGTTTTTTGCGAAGCAGCAGCTGCCTACCCTTGCACATCTGTATGCTTTGTATCCTCTTTACCAACGAAAACAGAAGAGGGGAGTGACAGTGCCATAAAAAAGGGCCAACTGGCTATGCCGGCTCTGCTTTCCGACTCACCTGACCCCCCTTTTCGCGCTCCCATCCACTTTTGTTTTAGTTGGCTTTGAGGACACGAAGCATACAAATGTGCTAAGGTAGGCAGTTGCGGCATCGAAGAAGACATGACTACTTGTCAAAACGTTGGCTTGAGTGACAAATTATGCTTGAGGATTTTTCTTTTCTTTTTGTTATTAGTATCACGTGCATAATAATGCAGCAAGAATTTTCCCGAGATGAACTGAGCATGGCAGCCAATATGTACAATACAAAGACAGTCGCACCTGTTGGTGGTGGCACGTTCAACGATGCCAGAGTTGGTGGTGGCACCGAAGCCAGGTACTGCGGTAGTGGCAACAAGGTCCGTTTTGGTGGAGGCACCGGGAACATTGGTGGTGGCACGGACAGATTCGGCAGCTGCACAGCAGAGGGCGGTACTGGGCCGTACGCAGGCGGCGGCTTCACCGGAGCGATCGGTTGAATGTCATCACGCTCTATGCCCAGAAGCTTCAGGTCCATGTCTTCCTCTGTCATGGTGGCTTTAGGCACACCGGGAAGCAATGTAACCTTGGCCACAACTCCAGACTTCAGGGCCTGCTTGCGTGGAGCTTGCGTGACAGACACGGCTGGAGCCGGGGCAACAGCGGTTGTTGCTGTATTCACCGTGGCCGCAGTGGTTGTGGCTGTGTTCTCTTCGATGGTTGTAACTGGTGATTGTGCTGGAGCTGTTCAGCAGGACAGAAAGACATACCATCTTACCACGGTAATATTAGCAGAAACTTCTGGATTTTATACCTTAAAACCAAAATTATGAGGCCCGCTTTACCGGAGGGCTCCACCTAATTTTGACCATCTGGGGAAGTGCAGTGACAGTACACGAACTTCTACCTGTATGCCTCCATCAATACATTGTGGCCAAGATTGAACCTGAATCTTTCTGGTGAGCAGCCAATAACTGCAGCCACATGCTCCAAACTTCAAATGCCTTGAGTGAACTGAAGGAAAGTGTAAATTTCAGCGGTTATTTACTTTGTTAGATACAACATTAATGATAACAAACATTCCTGGTAACCGCCATTCATGACAAGCACATTTATTTACGTGCCAGTAATAGGGGGACACATTTTAATCCTACTTCATTAAATTATTATTTGTAGTGATGAAGCTTCAGCGCTATGCTTTTTAGAAGACATGTGATAACCTCACTGCCATGCATTGTAAACACCAGTAAATAGATGGAAAGAACATTTCAATGATATATAACATTTCTACAGTCCTCATTCTATCAAAACAAAGCAACACCAATGCAAGTAAGACTCTTTTACTCTCACAAATGTCACTTTATACAGTCTTAAGAAGGGGCCCCTTTAGACAATACAAGAACCAATTACGATAAACCTTTAGAATTTCTGGCTTAGCTGGCTGCTACTAAAGTCACTAAAAACTGCAACAAAAAATTGCCTAATTTGAATTTGATCTTTTTCCTCAGCAATAAACATCAACTACACTGCAAGCACGAGAGCGGCATAAATAACTAGACAATGAAAAGCCTGAAATAATGCAGACTTTTACTTTTATGCAACAGAGTACACTACTGGAGGTGTAGAATTCCTGAACTGAAAAATACATGCATCTCTTCATGTAAACTACATAGTTAATATTACCATACTACATTATAACAACTCATTATCTCAGTTGTGTTGCAATGCCTTTGTGTACATAAAACTGTTTCTACAAATTTGTGCAGCTTTTTCTAGAAGTGAACATTTAGTAATTTTTGTCACTAGATGCTTGTCTTTCAGTAATAGTGCTCATTCTAAGCTGCCATGTAGCTTGCCCACTTCTTTCACTGTTTCCTTTTCATTGCCCGACCTGCTTGGTCTTCAGACTGCAGTATGTACGTAAATAAATAAATAAATAAATTTCTACGGCTGACAGACTACAGAGGGTGTGCTAACAATACTAAGTACTACTTTGTTTACTAACAACAACAACAACATTTTAGAGCACTAAGCTGAAGATGACAAAGCGATGCACTCTTCTCTTAGTCACTCTGCATGTCCACTTCAATGCGGTGCAACGGCTCTCACCAGAAGCCATAATGTACCAACAAGTGCAATCTGCTAAGGCTCATTCCCACTTGTTACCAGCATCAGTCGCATGACCAATTGCTTGTGATGAACAAAAAGTGACACAAAGCTGATCACACCTGAAATTGTGGTCTATACGCATTGCAACACCAAATTCACGTTTGCTCACACTGCAATTGCCTCGCAAAATAAGCCAAGTAACTGTTCCTGCTCATCTGATTGCTCCAAAGGTTTTCGACAGCATTCATGTAACTGAAAAATCAAATTTGAAGTGTAAGGAGCGACGATCTGCGCTGTCAGAGGGAGAGAACACCGACACAGAGCACCACTTCCCCCAATGTTTATCTCGAAATAAACACAGTACATATTCACAACATGTGTTGTCCTAAGTCTGGAATGCGCAGTTGCATTCAAGGAACTCCTTAGATGATTGTTAAATTGAGGCTATGCAACTGCACCTATCGCCTGATTCTAAGATTTCATTAGCCTCAGTATTACTGATTTATCATGGCTTTTAACGACTACCAAACAGACGCAAAAGTCAGGAGTGTGACAACAATCAGGACAATGCATCACAAATCACCTGCTTGGAATAAGTCGGAATAAGTCCAAAATGACAGAATGAACATTTGTTAATTTTTTCCCTGTTTCTTCACTGATTCATAATTGCTGGTGCCTAATGGTTTCGAAGCTACTTTTTTTTTTACAGCTGTAAAAAAGATAAATGAACGGTGTTTCCAGAAAAGGCTGCTTCTGAAAAAGAGATCGTCCACTGCCGTGCGTCTGCAGGCGAAACTCTTTAAGGCACAGGTCTTCTCACTAAGAATAATTTTAAGTGCCCATGTGAAAGCTGTACATGTCCATTTGCAGCTGGGTTGTTTATTATACCATTGTTATGATAATGAGCATTTGTCAATATTGAGCGAGGGGCCTTTGCCAGAATGTGCCCGACGTCTGGGTTGGTAACTAAGCCACTAAGTGAATGCTTACTTAAACATGCACATGGCCAACAAAACTACAAACCTTGTCCTGTGGCTAGAGAATACATGCATATTTCTATCAGTCCTTTCCCTGTCAGGAAGGACTAAAACACTTTTATACACAACATTACAGAACCGAACCATGTTGGTATGCAACATTGGCAAACTATGCAACAAAAAATGCTAGATGGAAGCTGTTCCGAAGTTTAGCCCTTACCTGACTTCATTCATATCACCATCTATTTGTAGGTGTAAAATGCAACACGAAACAGCTATGCATTTTAGCGTCATAGTTAAAAGGGCCACTAAACCACTTAGATGTCAAATTCAGTTGAGGTGTGTAAGAGTTGCACAAGTCTACAACAAACACGTAGGAGTGAAAAAGTTTTTTGAAATAGTGCCATAATAGTGCAGTAACGCGCGTTTCATAATCAAAGTGCAGCCATCGCTCGTTTCTTTACCACCCTTCGTTTGTCGGCTGGTCTCCTCTACCAAAGCCCGCTTACCTTTGTCACTGAGTGCCCCTATCAATCTCACATGATGTACGTCCTTCAAAGCGCCCTTTAAAACAACATCCACTTCTGGTTGCCTCGAATGTCAACTCCGTGTTTCTCGGCTAACGACTGTTGTTGCCATGCAGACCTGTGCTTCTACGAATTGTGCTGGCAGAGAACCCGTCTTATTCAAAGGATCGCCAACATGATGGACCCATACAGCGACATGCCATGCTAGAGCACCTCCGCTCATGCGCGAGTAACAGAATAGAAAGTTGGGCAAGTTGGTGTATATTCATATTAAAAGAAAAGCGGCGCACAAAAAGACGGAGACGAAGAAGAGAACCACACACAGCGCTGCATGCGCTGTGTGTGGTTCTAGAGACTCATGCACGAGTCTCTAGTTGAAGACTAACCAAAAGTTGTAGGCTTATCCAATCGCAGCATTGACTGATAATAATGTCACAAAGGCAACCAGTTGATGGTGCACACATCCCCGACAAAGCCGGAAACGTCAGGAGAGAAGGAATTTTTCAGCAGGAATTTGAGGCGTGCCCAAAGATTGTAGCATTGCCACGTGTGGCATTGTTGATTGTGACGGCATTCTGCACACAATGTACACGGTAACTTTAAATGTAACAAAGAATATCAGAGGTAATTTAGGGGCTCTGCCCTTTATACATGTTTTATAATTTGCACATTTGCTAAATCTCATTTTTTTATTGTGCTGCAGGTGAATGGCATTTTCAAAAAAGTTATTCAGCCCTTTAAATCTGAGGTCTTTTGGGCAGCTACATACCTTCAATTGTAAAAGCAAGGTAGCATTATATACTCATTTTACTTCATAAAACAATGATGCCGGAAATATACATGTGACACACATAAATAACAGAGCTAAACACCAGTATTATATTTCCTCATACAACCCTCATATATAACCCACACTGCCCCTTTTCAAGAACATTTTTCCGTTTTATAGTACAGGTTATACGTGAGAAAATATGGTATGTGTTCAAACAATGCATTGCACACTTTAATTCTCTATTGCACAGCCAACGAAACAACCAATCGACACGGTTTGTGGCTGCTGTCCCGTCTGAACTCGGGCTTGTGGTGGCTAAGCTTTTAAAAGTGTGTTTTGTTTCAAAATTTATTTTTCGAAGTAAAGGCTTATTGAATTATTGAAGTTCTATATGTTGACATCAGTTGATGAATTTTCTTTCTGCTATGCAACTTGAATGACAATCAATGTTCAAGCTCTTTCAATGAAAGTTTTGAAGATCTTGAACAACTCCATCATTCTGACACAAACGTTTTTCGTCTAATTATGGAAGTACAATAGTACAAAAGCACCAGCATCTAATTTACAGGCTTTGTTGCAGCATGCATCGTAAAAAAAAAGCTTTTAAAAGGCTATCGTAAAACTTCTGTTTAGCCTACTTTTGAGCAGACGGTAAATAAATCTATGAATGTGTCAAGCTGCTGAATTATCTTAAGCATGAACGGAGTAGCAGGAGGCCTATACTTGGGTGCTGAGCTTAATGTTATAGACAGCTGCACAGTCAAAACTGGCAAACCCTACTCGACAGTGCGTCTTGTTAAAACGTTGCATTGGCATAACTTAACTCCAGTTTTATAGTGACTGGCCTCGTGTGCCCATTGCAAGACCGTACCTCTATGCTCAACTTTTAAGCATTTAAGCATTATTAATTTATAAATCTGTGCATTCAGTTCAACTAACTATGCAAGAATGAACCGTTTGAAGGTTCATACTTGCATTTTAACGCGATAGAGTTATATCTTCTTCCGCAAAAACTTCGCCGTCAGCGTCGTTGGTTGTCAGTGAAAAATTCTCATTGCATCCTTCACCCGAAAATCGATCCCAGGCCGCCAGAACCACGAGATTTGTTGAAACTACTTTCAGGGAGGAGGAAAAAAAAAAACACCACTAAGTGAATGTATTTAGTCGAAAGAGTCTCATTAACGCATCACACATTGCATGGCAGAAGTATAGCATTGTGCCAGGCTTCAAAAGGTGTTGAGCAACGAGAGGGTGTTTTAAAGGCCCACCCATGACAAAGCATTCGGACATATTTAATCATTATGAGCACCAGAATCATCAACGAAGTGAACAGCTGCATTGGTTCGAACGAACGCAAAT